CCCCTTTAATCATTAAATCACACAATGTCATAAATCACAGAAATTCATCCACCACTGACAGCAGTGGCAGAACTTCATGGAATCATTCTCAAAGGCTCATTTAACATGCAAATCTCTTTCTGTTTACTTACCATATCCAGCTGTCTATCAAATACTGTTTCTATGGGCAGATATTGATCGGTAAATCATGATGAGGAGCGCATAAATGAACGCACTTCCGTATCTGTGGAACAACTGTCAGGGAGTTGCTAGGGACACTGTTCCTTATTTTGCTTGGCTCTTAGTTTCACTTAAAAACTTATCGGTCAAAACCACTGATCAAACCACCAGTTTGTGTTACCGGAGGACAAATTGTTTGGTCTTATCCAAAATCAGTTATCATCACCGACTAAATGCTAGTGAACGAACAGCTGTGCATGCTGTGAATGAATAAAAAGAAAAGAAAGTAAAAAGTGACAGAAAAATCATCCCTGTAAGGAATATGTTCCCTTTTTAATATACAAAAAAGGTGTTCTATTGGATTCTAAGCCTAGAATATGTATGGCATAGCATAATATATAGGTGTTGAGTCTTTGCAGACAATATTGTAACTTGTAGTAGTTAAATATGGTGTCATTTTTAATTTTAAGGTGGATTTGCAGATTAAAAATGCAAGAAACTCTGAAACCACTATTATAATCATTCTACTTGAGAATTTATTTCTCTGTTTTTTTTTTCATGCATTATAATTGGAAGATTAACTTGTTTCGTGCTTATTCTACAACAGATATAAATGGCATCTCATATTTCTGATGATAGGTGTGCTATTACTTTTCTAAATAGGACATTTTCGCCTGGCAGACAACAAAATAGGCGTAAAAACTAAATCTCACAGACTTAGACTAAAGGACGCATCTGAGCCATGTGTAGGGAGCACAATATCATACAAACGGAGTGGGCTCTCTACATACGGGAAAGTACATAACCTACAACACCTTGTTATCAACTACATAGCAACAAACCTAGCAACCACACAGCATCGTGGATCATTTGGGACTACTCATATTTTACTCTCTCTTAAATTGTAAAAATGTATTTTATAGTATATATTTTTCATTTTCTTTAACATGTTATTATCGGTGTTCAATCTGCACACTGCAAACTACACTCAATAATAGAATAATTCAAGTTGTATTATGAAATCAAGATGTGGCTGTTTGGCCCTCTTTGCACACCAGACAATGGCAGAGAAAAGCAGTTTGAACTGAATCATTTTAGCATCAAGAAACACATTTTCTGACCCACACTGAGCTGTTTCATGGAAGCTTGTTTCTGCCACATTAAAATTTTTTATAAATAATAATAATAATAATAAAAAAATGTTGCAATTTTCCATGACATTCTAATTTATTGAGATGCACCTGTAGATACTTTATATCTCACACTGACTTTTTTGTTGCAATTCTGACTTTATAAATCACAATTCTGAGAACTGAGATATAAACTATTAATCAAATTTCTAATCGCGATTACAATAACGGATGCCACAATTACATAATCATTCAAAGGTGCAATTAATCGTTTAAAGTCCACTTATGTTATTCTGAGTGCTTAAGATGTGTTTTTTTTCTTGCTACAGGTTATCTTAAGGGGTTTTCCATTGTTTTAATTTTAGTATAACATTATAATATCATGCTTATTTTTACTTTTTTATTTAAAGAAGAAACCAATCCAATGTATAGTTGACATTTGAGGCTTAATACTATAGAAAAGCAATAAAAGTTTTTCAGTTAGTGTTTTCAGCTTGTTTATTTTCATATAAAAATATGGCATGCAGTTGCATCAAACAATGGTGTAAACATCATTCAATGTAGATTGTGATCATCGCAATTAGAATTTCAAGGGAATAATCGACAATTATGATTTTTGTCATAATCGTGCAGCCCTAATATAAACTCAAAATAACTCCGAATGAAGTAAAAATTGTGGGATTTTTTTGTTATTATTTTTTATTCCATAGTTTAAACAAAAACAAAAACAAACAAACAAACAAACAAAAAATAGAAAAGCAAGATGCAAACTCAGAAATGTGAGGGAAAAAATAATTGCGATATATTAACTAATAATTGTGAGATTTAAACTTGCATATAAGATTTTAGTTTTTTTTACTCCATGGCTGAAACTAAACAAAAAACAGAATTGTGCGAAGCAAACTCAGAATTCTGAGAAAAAAAAAGTAAAAAATGCAAGCTATAACCTCAGATTTCAGACTTTTTGCAAGATAAAAAAAAATTCATCCTTTCAATCCTTTTTTTATCTTGTGGAGGAATCAATCAAAAAGGAGAAAAAAACAAAACGCTCACTAAACAAAGTCTTTTTTACAGTCTATGAGTAAGACTTACATAATCAGAGCCTCCCATTCAAAGAAATTCTCTTCGTTTACAGGCCCTGTAGGGATGAAATGAGTCTCATTAATTAATTATCTTCTTATACAGATAAATCAACACATGATTTAAGTACAATTATTATTAATATTCTAAATAATCTACTTTAAAGCCAGGTCAATGGAGCAGTTCAGTAACTGCCCTAATTCGTACCTGCTACAATCCCCTCTGGAGGGTTGAGGGTCAGTTCTGGAAAGAAAGAAATGCGTTGAGCAAACTGTATCCATATAATTATGTTCAACAGGAAATATATATAACAGAAGACAAGCATCACACACTTTCCTGCAGTGGCAGCACTAGAGTAACGTTACGCGTGTAGAGAAATGAAGTATGAACATCAATTAGGAGTTACACGGTCAGTTTCAGTGTGTTTGGTGACACTGCTGTTCATTTACTGACTGAAGTCATTTTAATAACTCACACTGTCAGCATATGTTGGTGAAGTTCTGGAAGTATCTACAGCTGCCAAACTGTTGCTACCAAAATAGTGTAAAATCCACCGTTCACAAGCACCAGCACTGCACGGCATTAGTGTAATAAAATACATGACTTACGTTTGTATTCAGCCATGAGTCTTTTTAAAGCTGTTCCAGCCATTTTACAGCCTGATCTAGACAGAAGTTGCTTTGGCACGATGGGGGACCACAACTGACACGACGAGAAATCTTGTTCTTCCGGGACAAAAGCGAGCAAAGAACTTCGCGAGCGGAAAATTTTCCACTCGATCTTCACTTCCGCGTGACGTCACGTGATCCGTCACGTGTGTGTGCGTGCGTGCGTGCGTGCATGCGTGATTGCGTGTGCGTGCGTGCGTGCGTGCGTGCGTGCGTGTGTGTGTGTGTTTTCATTTTTCCACTAAAACTGATCCTTTAAAAATAATACGTTGTTTAATTTTATTTTAGAAAAATAATTTGTAACATTTAAAACAGCTGAAAAACGGATTTCCCTAAAACTCTCTGAATTACTTGCACAATATTTATTGATTAGATATATATGAAGTTTATTTAATATTCATCATTTGTAATTGTATTAATTTTAATCATATGTATGTATTTATTTGTTTATTTCATTTTATCTCTTTATGTATGCTGCTTGGATTTGTGTTTAACAGTTATAATGCCTGTTATTATTTGTATAAGTTGTATACAAGTTTGTTTGCTTTTCATAAAAACTTTTTTTTTGTTTTTTTTTTTCGCTTATGAAAAACAATATGAAGATTAATTATTATTATTTTAGTTCAATCTTTAAAGGAATGCCCTTAAACTCTTTAAATTACTTGCACAATAAATGTTTAAGAAATGTATATCAAGTGTATTTAATATTTATCTCTTGTAATTATTTTTATTTTTGAAATATTTATTTGTTTGTTTGTTTCATTTTTCTGTCTTTAAGGTATGCTGCTTGAATTTATTATGAGTGTGCTTAACAATGATGATGTCTCTTTGTTGTTTGAAAGAGTGTAATAAAGGTTTTTTTTTTAATTAAACAATATTGTTTGGTTTTAAGAATATGAAGATTCATAATTTATTAATTATTTACTTAATTACATTGATGATGATGATTATACAAAAATAAATAAATGTGCACTTGCTATTTGGTCCCGTACTAGAGTGGAATGGCTAAGCATTAGTAAAACTAATAGTAAGAGCCACACTGACCTCTAGCGGAAGCGTCTGAGAAGTGCAGAACTGTTTCAATGGCAACTATCACAGAGTTGAAAAGCGGTGAGCTAATACTCATAAAATGACAAAATGCATCATGTCGTTGGGCTAAGGTTATGATTATTTTTGCGTGTTTGGTTTATAACAAATCTACAGTCGTCAGGTTTGTTATTAATGATGTTAGATGTTTAAGCCTAACCCCCTTGTTTAAAACAATACGTCTCCGAATCAGGTCAGCCTGAAGTTCCCCTAGATCGGGAGTTCGTGGCCAATGAGCTCAATGTCGCAGAAGATTCAAGTGCCAAAGCAGTGTAAGTATGATTTGTGACAAGTAAGTACAACTTTTTATTTATAGAGCACATGAGAGATGTTTTGAACATGTACTGTACTGTATGCACATGGCACAACAATGAAGATGGCCCAGGGTCACTGTAAGGGAGTTTGAGGCCTGTTAACACTTAAAGGGTTACTCCACCCCAAAATGAACATTTTGTCATTAATCACTTACCCCCATGTCGTTTCAAACCCCTAAAAGCTTCATTCGTCTTCGGAAGACAATTGAAGATATTTTGGATGAAAACTGGGAGGCTTGTGACTGTCCCATTGACTGCCAAATAAATTACACTGTCAAGGTCCAGAAAAGTATGAAAGACATCGTCAGAATAGTCCATCTGCCATCAGTGGTTCAACCGTAACGTTATGAAGCGACGAGAATACTTTTTGTATGCGAAGAAAACAAAAATAACGACTTTATTCAACAATTCGTCTCCTCTGTGTCTCTCAACATCACCGTAGCACCATTTTGGAGAATATCCGCTGAACGCAAGCAGCGTACGCTATTCTGTGTCAGCCGCGCTGCACGGATGCGCTGTTTTCGTTCAAATCAAAGTGTAAGGTCCGCGCACTTGGTCCAAGGAAGGTATCCAGTGGCGGATGAAGGTCTCTTGAGTGTTCGGTCTTTTCAGCGTGCAGGGTTATTCAATTTAGGTTTAACTCAATCTGACTCCATTTTATTATTTTTGACTTTGCACCTCAATGGGAACAGAAGGTAATTTGCATGGAATGACCCTCTACAGTAATCACAGTATTTATTATCTTTTAGTCTACTTTTGTAAGATTAATACCATTGTACCACTCACCCTGACACTATTCAAATGAAACCAAACATGACTGTAAATCTTATTTGCATTCATATAGAACATTTACTATTCTGAGTGAATCCAGTGGAGGGAGGAGATGAAAAGACACCGATGCATATGTGAGAGAGGCGTTTCCCGCACCACCCCTCCGTGGGGTGTCCTGAAGATGCCAGTGCACCGTCTGTCTCCCAGGAGAGCAAAGCATCCGAGTTTCTTTTATCCTTACAAAAGCGGGTAAGTGATTAATGACAAAATTTTCATTTTGGGGTGGAATATCCTTTTAACCAAAAAAAAACAAAAGGCATATCATTTTTGGTAGTGGGGCCGGTAAAAATGTTGGCAGGTCAATTTAATTAGTTAGAAAGATTTAAAAATTGTTCAGCTGTGACATAAACAAACAGAAACAAATACCAATTAATTAAAAAAATTAATTATGGAAAAGCCCTACTAAAAGAAGAGTAAACTAAAGAGTGCTATGAGTGTGATACTTTCTAAAAGTGTTAAAGGAGTCATATGATGTTGCTAAAAAGAACACTATTTTGTGTATTTGGTGT